TCCTCTCCTCTCCTCTCCTCTCCTCTCCTCTCCTCTCCTCTCCCCCACCCCCCCAAAAAAAAAAGAAACCAAAAAACCAAACCTCATTCAAAAAACCTCCATCACTAAGTATCATTCCCTATGCAATTAGAAATTTATAACCAAACTGAAGCCATATCATGCCCATGACGTGTAATAGCCTCTGATGGAGCCTATACTGCCATATTACTAACCCAGAAATTTGAGTTATGTTAAAAATAACAAACAAAACTCCCCCAAACCAAGGTCACTGCTGTCTATAAAGATCTAAAATCTTATCTGGTTCTGCTCCTTTCTCAGTGATTTAATGAAAGCTGGATCTTGTTAGTAACAAGTGCAATTCCTAGGGGACAGGTAAGCGCAAGCTAATTTCTTGTGTTATATAGCCCCATATATAAAGTGTAGGAAAGTGGTGTCTGGGAAAGCTGATTTAGGAGGAGCTGTAGAAAGAGAAGAGTGGGAACATCTCTAGCAGTAAGACCCTGTGCACTTTGATTAAACACCATTTAATGCTCTGGATTTGTGTCAACCTGACAGTCTGATTCAGGACTTTATTTATGGCTGGGTTGGGGCTGAATTGTCTCACACAAGTATTGCTGCATGTGGGATGGGTGAGAGGCAATGGAAAACTTCCTGGTTGCTCTCTCAGCCTCTCCTCCCAGTGGAATTGCTCAAGATCTTGCAGCACCATGTTGGGCTCTTATAACATGTCCATGTCTATCATGCTACTTCATGGCCCACAATACCAAAACATGGGAGCTTCTGAAAGTTGTTTTCACAGCTGTTAACATTTCTGTGTTCTTTATGTCCAGAGAAGGTCAACAAAGCTGATGAGGGAATTGGAGCACAAGTCTTATGGGAAGTGATGAGGGAACTGGGATTGTTTGCCATGGAGAGAAAAAGGTTCAGGGGAGACTGTATCACTCTCTGCAACTCCCTGAAAGGAGGTCATAGAATCATAGAATCATAGAATCACCAAGGTTGGAAAAGACCTTCAAGATCATCCAGTCCAACCGTTCACCCACTCCCAGTAGCTCCCACTAAACCATGTCCCTTAACACAACATCCAGCCTTTCCTTGAACACCCCCAGGCTCGGTGACTCCACCACCTCCCTGGGCAGTCCATTCCAGTGCCTGACCACCCTTTCTGAAAAGTAATACTTCCTAATGTCCAGCCTGAATCTCCCCTGCCGTAGCTTGAAGCCATTCCCTCTGGTCCTATCACTAATGACACGAGAGAAGAGGCCGACCCCCAGCTCACTACAACCTCCCTTCAGGAAGTTATAGAGAGCAATGAGGTCTCCCCTGAGCCTCCTCTTCTCCAGGCTGAACATTCCCAGCTCCTTCAGCCGCTCCTCATATGGCCTGTGTTCCAGACCCCTCACCAGCTTTGTTGCCCTCCTTTGAACACGTTCCAGGGCCTCAATATCTTTCTTGAAGTGAGGGGCAGGAGGCTGTAGCAGCTTGGAGGTTGTAGTGAACTGGGAGTTGGCCTCTTCTCAAGGGTAACTAGTGATGATAGACAAGAGATAATGCCCTTGAGTGGTGACTGGAAAGGTTTAGGTTGGATGTTGGGAAGGATTTATTCTCCGCAAGTGTGGTCAGGCATTGGAACAGGCTTCCCATTGAAGTGGTGGAGTCACTATCCCTGGAGTTGTGGCACTGGGGGACATGGTTTAGTGGTGAGGGATGTATCCTCAGGGCCACCCTGAGTAGTGCATTAGGAGGGCTTTTCATTTTGTTCAAGATGCAGAGCTTTTGCCTTGCCCTATTGCTGACGTTCTGCTCTTTCAAATGCATGTTGAGAGCATGGTATTTTAACAGCATTGGGAGATCTGGTTAAGGGATGCAGACTGTGTTGCAGTCACAGTCTGCTGCCTGGAAATATGAATTACAGCTCCTATCTGAGTATATGTAATGCTTCAGCTCAGAGGTGCAGCGTGCCAGTAACAGCAGTGGTTTAAATGCACTGTAGCATGTCAAGTGGACAACGACTGTGGTGCTTTGAGCTTGGCCAACATTTGTGGTAGAGCAGTTTTACATAAAACTGCAAAAGGTGGGGTCTGAATGGGACTAAACCTTGGGAAAATCTGCTCTAGACATTGTTCCAAAAGTGTAAGTGGACAAACGACTTCCTGTGGTGACTATTATCTATCAAAATATGACTCTTTAAGGTTTTAAGGGTACATGAGATATCCTTTCTCTGTAGTATAGGTCAGTCCAGCTTCACACCCACCTTTCTCTGGCAGTGATGAAGCATTGGAGGACCTCAAGTTTTATGGGGCTTTATGTTGGGGAATGAAGATTACCAACCAAACAAAATAAAACATTAAAACTAAACCAAGCACTCAAATCTTCTGTCCTATTCTGTGCTCTCCTTGTAGGAAAGATTCGGGTACATTGGCCAAAGTGGCACTTAAGGAAGTCACCTGGGCAGCACCACTAGCAATTCTGGGCACTGTCTCGTTAACACTTGCTGTTGGGATATCAGGAAGAAATAATAAGAGAAGCCTATCCCAGGGATGCTGTGCAGGAAGATGAATGTGCTGAGAACTTGTTTGAGCTCCCATCCCCCACCTGCCCCAAACGTTTTTTTTCTTCTTGTTGCTTCCTCTCCCTTTTCTGAAGGCAGGACCTTGCTCTGCCTATCTGTGTTGTTGTGCTTGCAGTTTCTCATTCATTTGCAGTTCTGCTATGTCCACTTGATAAATGAGCAGAAATATTACTATTGCAATTGCTAATAATTCCTGCAGAGGCTGCCTTGATCCATGTAAGCCATATCTGATACATCTGATCATTGCCTTTCCTGTCCTGATGATGCTGGCAAAGGCATCTGGCCTTTCCAGTGCATGTTGTATGATCTGGCACTGTGTAAAGCTCCATTGGACCCTCTAATTGGGCTAAATTTCCAGTGAGGAGGAACCCACACTGATGAATTAATGGTTAATCGTCATTTTTATTAAAGAGAGCATGCATGCAGGAGTTTGGATTCAGTGTTTTATTACATCATTCAGCTGAGCAGCAAATGATTTGTCTGTTGGGACAGAATAGGGCTCCCCACCAGTCCTCTTCTTGTTGAAGCAACACTGTGATTCAGATGAGCAAGTATTATTTTTCCTACAAGAATTTTGCTTCGAGAAGAAAAATCTGTCTTCTTTGTATGATGCTCTAGCCCTGTGTTACTGGTGTTTCCCTGTGTGATCAGATAGCATTTTGAGGTGGTAATATTGACAGTTCCCTGAGCGTGACAGCACATCATCCTTGCCATAACCTGTGCGTGTGCATATATAACAAGTAATATTTTGGTGACAGCTCTATCATAGATGCTCTCTGCTGGTCATCCCCTTTCAGAGGCTGTGATGGGAGTTTAGAGACCCTTTCAAAGTAATGGTGGTCTCCAGTATTAATAGATCTCTCTTTTTGTCTTTGCAGCCACCCAGATTGATCCCAGTGAACTACAGGAACTTTTTCAGGAGACTTCAGCCAATGTCTTCCGAATTAACTCCAGTGGTGCGTATAATGAGAGGTTTCCTGGTCGTTTGTGTGCTGTCCTGCTGACGGCTCCTGTGCGTGTACACAGTGTGTGACAGCTCCTGTTGTCAGGGAGCAAATATTAATGCAGTTTTCTTGCTGCTGCATCTCATGAGCACCAGCACATGTCCAATACGCAGTTCATTATAAGATGTAAAAATATTCCACCATATGTTGCATTAAACAGGCTCAGATATATTCCAGTTCTTACGGAGTCCACATCCTTTTCTATTTTTAATCGTGTCATCTGTTACAATAGGGAATTAGAACGCAGAAAGGTGGAACAAGCCAGGCTCATTTTCTAATGTATCACAGCACTACTGTGTTCAGAGCCTGTCATACAAACCTGCAAAACATCTATCTCCCTTATAAAAACACCAACACCAAAGCTCTTCTATTACTCTTCGCTCTAAAGATTGAACAGTGATGCTCAGTCATCAATATGATCCTCATATCTCCCAACACAGTGGAGGTGCAGAGTTCTTCCCTTCTTTGGAGACGTGCTCTAGCTCATCATGCCTCACCTGGGATAGAATGTAGAGCTGCATTTTGCAGATAGGTGAAAACTAATGTTGAATAGCAGTTAATGTTGTTGTATCCCAGTTCTAAAACACTGCTGCCAGACAAGGGTTTAAGATCATTGAGTGCTGATGTTCTGAATCTCCAGATCAGCTTCTGTCTCTCGTCTGATTGTGCATAAGAGCATCAGGTAAGAAAGAGAGCTGGATGGGATGCAAAGAAGGGATTTTAGTATCTCACAAATTGTTTTAATTCTCCCCATATATTCTGGGGAAAGGTCTCAATCTTTCTAGTAAGGGATCTTTGCTAAAAGGGGGATGGGAAGCAATTCTTCTGAAATATAGGCATTGTTTGTCTATAAGGATTTTTGCATGCTGCAGTACAGTCATGCCTCCATCTGCCAGGCAAGTTTGAGCACACATTTTGTATGACTGTAAGGGATTGATAGATATGAGTTTGCTTTTGACAGTCATCTTTATCTTGAGTCAGAGCTTCAGGACCACCTGTAGCACCAAAATACTTCTCACCAGTCAGATTTCACTGCTCTCCACTATCTGAGAAGGTGACGTTGAAGGTGAAAGTAGGTGCTGGGTAGGCTCTGTGAAGGTGTTTGGGTACCTGGTTTTCTGTAAAATCAGAAGAAAAATAATTCTTCACACTTTCCTTCTGTGCTTTAGGTAGAATAAGCCCATATACAACAAGACAGGATGGATGTTTGCTTGCTTTAAATGCATTTTGAAGAAAAGATCTGGGAGTACTAATGAATCAGAAGTAGAACGTGAATTCACAATGACCTCATTCTAATTTCAGTGGGAAACTAGAGAGTAACTGTTGAAAAGATGGAGCTATGTCTGTCACAGTGCTCATAGTGGAAGAATGGGAGGCTGTAAGCACAGGCTGAAACACAGAACATCACAATTCAATGTGGTGAAAAGAATTCTGACCATCTGGTTGATTAAACATGGCAGCGAGAGCCCAGGAAGGCTGTGGGATCTCTGCTCTTGGAGATATGCAGAGCTGGAGTAGGACCTTGCTTTCAAATGGACCTGCTTGGAGCAGAATGTTAGAGACCTCCAGAGATGCTCTGCATGAGTCTATGATTCTTCAGTAGTTCTGCTACACATACAATGTGATTCTAAATGAGTTGAAGGCAAAAATGGGTAAAGGACACTTCATGGTTGTTTTCTGGTTTTGTTTTTGTTTTTTTTGGTGGCTGTTATTTTTAAGAGGAATAACTGATTGATACAATTACACAAACAGTTGTTTAAGGAACATGTTATTTATGGTCTTCTGGAAAACTACTTGCATGCCACAAGTTTGGCAGCCTTCTTCAAGGAGCAAAAGTTGAGAAATTCAAGTCGCCTTTGTGCTGCACTTTTGTGTGTCCTTTGTGATAGTGGAGAGCAGCAATTGGACTGATAGTACTTGGGGTGAGGTATAACCACCTACTGCAGAAGCTCGAGAAATTTGTTCGATCACAGAGTGGTTGTGATTGGAAGAAAGCTCTGGAGGTCATCTGTTCCAACCTGTCTTTGTAGTGAATGTGCTCTCGTCCCTTCATTAGCTCTGTGCCTCTTCATTAGACTCTCACCAGTATGTTCATGTTTCTCTTGTACTGGGGAGCCCAGAACTGGATCCACTAAACCAGGTATGGCCTCCCCAGGGCTGAGCAGAATGGAAGTCTTGCCCTCTAATGCGGCCTGAGATACAATTCTTTTCCTTGCTGGAAAAACACCTTATTGGTTTAAGTTCTACTTGTTGTCCACCAGGACTTTTACCTGATCTTTTCTTTGAGAAAACCTCAATACCTTGACCAGGGCTTATGGCTGCCTGTGGCAGCTTGAACCTCTCAATTGTAGCCAATGGTACTTGGCTTACAGATGTGGGTATGGCTTTATTATACAGAAAAACCTGAATTAGCACTGGTCTTACTTTTTCCAAGCACTAACGGTGCTACTTTGATAATGATGATATAATAGTATACTGGCTGTTGGCAATGAAGGATTCATTGTGAAGTTTTGCAGGCTGCTTGTTTGCTGTCAGTACCCAAGCTAGCTAGGTTAGGGCTGACAAAGTATATCTGAGCTGTAGTCCCAATTCCTGCTCTTCTAGTGGAGTTTACCCTGAGAAATCCTTAAGATGAATGCATTATCTTTGTTGAAATGCTGCAATCCAATTTCTACTTTTGTTCTTTGCATTACATTTATCCCTTCAATTAGGTTTTGAGTAATTTCCGGTGGTCTTTATTTCTCCTCTTAAGACTCGCTCTTAGAGTGAGTGAAGATTTGCTTTCAGTTGGAGTTGCCTGTACAGAGTGCTCTCTGAAGCACGTATTGGCGGTGCCTGTACTTAAAACTGTTTTGTAAAATTGGAGAGGTTACAGAGAAGAGCTAAGGCGATTGTTTGAAGTCTGCAAATCGGACTTTAAAATGCATGCCATCCAAATTTCTGTTTGAGACATCTGAGAGGGCTTGATCATGGCTTGTAAGTACCTCTCTGGGAAGAAAGACATCAAATAGATACATAGGGCTCATTAATCTAACATTCTCACAGATAATGAGATCAGGAGATAGGAGTCAAAGCTAGACAAATTCAATCTTTCTGTATGCGGGTAAGTAGCCATTAGAACTGCTTATTGGAGGGACGTGATGGATGCGGTGTGGCTTCGAACCTTTAAATCAAGATTCAAATGTCTTTTTATAGGAGATACTTTAGTCCAGCTGCAGTCTATGGTCTCAACATAGGAGTGATGGGATGAAATTTTATGGTAGGAAATCAGACAGGATAATCAAAATATCTCTCTCTGGCCTTTAAAATCTATGAATCTATGAATTTATAATGCTTTTTAAAGTGCTTTTAGGTTGAATAAATGCCCATAAGATACTATGCTCTTCACCACCTCTGTTATTTTTGTCTGCTGAAGGAAGTTTGATTCAACTTGTTTGCATCTTGTTCACAAGCCCTTCCCCAACAGTGTGTCCACCTTTGCAGGGGAGGAGATGCAGAATGTACTGCTGAAATTTTACACAGCTAATCCAGCCCAGATAAGGAGCTTTGCAGAGGTGTAAAATGGGAAAGGATGCCCAGGATCCCTTCTGCTTTGCACAGCTGTACCATCTGGTCTCTTCAGTAAACCCAGCAAACTCTGTCTCAGAGCACGTAGCAAAAGTCAGTGCTGCTTTTGTGTACCAGCACACAAGCAGCTGAGCAAGAAGTGAGTGGCTGCATTGCACATGCTCACCAGATGTTGTCCTGTGCTCCTGTTGTGCCAGGCATGGTGTATTGAATGTCCTTCAGGATTGCATAAATCCAGGCAGTTTCCCTTTTCCTGCCTTACCCCAACCTCATTTGGGACTTCCAGGTTCTCCATTGTGTTTGGAAACCAAACTAGGCATAAGGTGTTATGAGCTCTCTACTCTGTACTTCTGTTGTTTTGATTCTTTTTGCTCTCCTTACTATTTTTGCAGAAATCTGAGCCTTTAAAGTGATTTAAATTCTTCTTGGCCATTTGAGGCCTTGGCTTCTGACCAAGGAGAAACGTTGCAGCTCTGAGCTGATCTTGGCAGAACTTACATAGAAATGCTTTGTGCTCCCCCTTTCTGCTATGAAAATGGACATCTTTCTTGTGTGTTTAATAAAAACCTTAGATCCATTGCTTATGTTTATGAGCTACTGCATCATTCTATTGCCAGTTCATGAACGTAGGGACATTTTTTTTTAAGTCATCTCTTACAGAATTGTCAAGGGGTAGTGGGAACTTTTACCTGTACTTTGCACCTGCTTTCTCTCTGTTCTTCAGGGACTTTCCCTATTGAGCATAGGGAAGGTTGTCTGATAAGGCTTTGGTGAGTTTTATGTTTTCTTACTCAGTTGATTCAGCCTGTTCCAATAAATATATAAACTCTTATTGTAAAAGGAGCTGGCTTGATGCCTTGTGGCTAAAGGGCTGATCACTGGAGGGTATACTGCAAGAATCAGAGCTGTTCTGCCCAGATGGAGAATATGAGTCCTCTTATGGGTCTCTTCCCTCTCTAATTCCTGTTACTTCCTTATTAATATCTCCCCATGACAGATTGGTGCCACATGCAATCCCATTATCTTGATCTGAGAGGCTGAGCAAAGGGTTTTTCAGCATCCCACAGGTATGATGAAGTCTCCATTTCCATCCTGGGGTAGTTTCTCATTCCCCATTGATTTTAAAAATTTTGATGATGTAGGCAATCAGTGGCTAACTCTCAGTTTATGTAAATCAGTACAAGTCCAGCGGCAGTGACCTCTGTGGAACATCTTGGAAGACTAGCATATGCCTTTTAAATATTAAATATGCAAGGCCTGTGAAGTAAGAAGTCTGTTCTACCATTGGCTTCATGGCATTGCTCCAGCCCATCTTGACATGCTGCTTCTTTTGGTAACTCAAGTATTCAGAACTGGTAACTTCCAAGGGATTTTCCATATCCAGCACAAGAATCATGCAGGTTTCAATAGAACTAATCTTAGCCAAAGCAAGGTACTATCCCAAAATATGAAAGAGCTAAGTCAGACTAAGATCCAGGAGGCTCAAGTTTGCATTTCAGTTCTGCTATTTCCCAGGTAAGAGCCACATCAAATGCCAACATTTTGGCTGTTCCAGAGCTTGTCCTATTGAGATTACTGACCTTTATACAAATAGAATTCTGGAATCACTGAATCATTAAGGTTGGAAAAGACCACTAAGATTATCTAGTCCAACCATCAATCCATAACTCTCCATTCTCCAATGGCATTAGAATAAGCACCATGCTCTGAAATGCCCCAGAGGGCTGGTAGGTCCTGGAATATTTTTAGATGATACTAAATTTTGTCTTTGAAATGGACAGGTTGCATGGGAGACTTGGATTGTTAGGATTACAGAGTAGAAGGAGGAAATTATGATATCTGTGAGATTTTTTCAGGATCAGTGCTTTTATCCTAAAAAAGCAAATGGCTATTATTTAAAACTGACACTTTATTCTTTAAAGAACTCTACGTCCAGCAAAGTATAATAATTATTAGCTCAACTGTAGAACAGTTACTTAAGGTTTTGTCTCAGTGAACTGTCAAACTCTGTACTGAAATCTGCTTTTGAGATCTAGCAGTATAGTAAGCAAGGTGAAAGTATCTGTTGGTGTTGGATACTCATGTTGTACAAGGACATTAATTAGTTAATTTGGTCCTTTTTTTGTGTCCATATGTCTTTTGGTGTCAACCTGCAGAAGCCTAGAAGAAAAGAGGGAATTTGTTTTTTTCTGTCAGGGGAAAAATAGTTAAGTGACTTGTTCAGAACTACAGACCGAGACGGAGTCTGCAGTCATTAAAGTAATAGATGTCTTAAATTTGTACTGGAATAGTCGACCCATGTTACTTATGTGTTCTTTTTGTTCCATAAGTATTGAAGCGTAACTGATAACAGGGTCATAAGTTCTTACAGCTGGAAGCATCCCAAGACAATCCCCGATGTAAAGAGTAAGAATGTCATTCATATTGCATCTTTCACTGTGGAATGTCTTGAAGTGCTTTATGTACTTGATATGCTAAGTCCAAAAGAAATGATCTTCTGTTAGTGTGAAATGAAGATGTGACAGTGAACACCCACAAGTATTTATGCATTTTTTTTCTTAAATATGAAGTTTCTGTGTAGTGCTTTATGTACCATCTTTCCTACTTCCAGCTCTGATTAGAATCACTTAGACTTGAGCATTCTTCTCTCCTTATAGAAAAAGCCCAATGAACTCCTTAGCTAACCTGCAGATAATAACAGTAAGACACATTTTATCTGAGCTAAAAGACAGAAGAGTGAGTATAAAAGTCTTGAACAGTGAGTTGAAAGATAATGCAATGAATGATAGAACTCAACTTCTTGGAGGCTATTTGGAGTAGTTAATATTTATTAATTAGTAGTTATTCTATCCTGTCACACCACCCATGGAATAATTACCTCTTGGGGACTCAGTTTTATCTGTTTTGTGCTAAGTGGCATTCCCTTATATTGTCACAAGGTACTTGTTCAAACACAAAACTTGTTTTGTGTTTTCACTTGTTCAAAATTCATTATGTGGTTTTGAAAGGAAATAAATTAAAAGATGAGTGAAAATCCAGTATGTTTTTCTCTGAAAATGCTCCTTTTCTTTCTCTGCTGTTGACAGTGACCTCTCTGGAAAGAAGTCTTCGATCTCTGGGGACCTCCAATGATAATCAAGAACTTCAGGATGGACTGTGAGTCTGTTTTGAATTACATCTCTCTATGTCCCAACCTTTTCATTTTTTTCCCCTCGTCTATCCTCTCCCTTTTTTCCATCCTTTTATTCATAACTGGACACTTTTTTTGTCAGGCTCACTTAATTTTGTTCCTTTCTGTTGGTGATTAATGATTGTAGGACATGTATTGATTGTATAAAGCTTTGCTTGTGCTGGTTTTTGGAGGCAGAGAATGGTAGGTAGATAACAGGAAATGATGGCCCACAGTGAAAGATGTGTTTCTGTGGTAGTGTGTGGGTTGTTTGTTTTGTTGCTTTTTAATGTGAAGCCAGGCTTGAGTACTTGTGTAGCTTTTTCCTTTCTCTTCTTTTTTTTTCTTTCTTTTTTTTTCCCCCTCTTTGCCAAAGTCAGTGAATTGAAGAGGAAAAGAAAGAAAAGGAACAAGAAAGGTATTTTATATGTGGAGATGTGTGTTGTGGCATTGAAGCTTGCATCACAGGGTATAGCACAGAGAAAACGAAACTTCAATTTCGCTTGCAGTAGATACAGTTCATTAAACTCTCTTCTGGATATGTGTATACACAAACATGCACAGTTAGTTTTCATTGTATGCATGCTAATTAGAGAATTAAAATGGCTTTTCCAAACGTAGCACAATTTATTAAAGCTGCTTCCCTTCATGCAGCCTGCATAAAAAATCAAGTACTTAGGACATGGTTCTGATTCTGTATATATAACTGCATTTCCTAATGAGGTTCAGCTGTGAATGGAGGGAAGATTTTGATTTCTATTTCTTTATATTAGCATTACAATCTGAAGAAGTGCCTGATGGACTTGACTCACCTTTTTGATGCAATATAATCTCTCAGATAGGTTTGCAGTCTCTCTACTTCTCTCTCCAATTCATTGCTATCATCTGTGCATCTGATCTGCTCTAATTCACATCAACACTGTTTTGCAAACTGGAGGAATAAAAATAGTTACAGTAATAATAGTCGGAAGATTTTGAACTAAATTTAGGGGACAGGAGAGGATGTGAGAGTAAAGAGTCAGCCTGTATAGAGCAGTGTAATCAGGAAAGATGTTTACATGTACAAAATTATTTGTAGCATAAACCACCCCAGTAACTGCCGAAGATCCTTTGTCCAGGAAGGCTTTTGCTCACCCAGAACATCTCTTGTGCTCATGCTCCTAAACTACTCCTTTTTTATTTAAGAACCAATTCCTTGGCTATTCAGAGTGTTTCAACAGTGTGGCTAGATAATTTTCTTTTTTCTTGAGCAGCTACATAAATAAATCCATAACGCACTAATTGCAATAATTATTTGTGATCTTGGAATTATCATTAATTGTCCAGATAGCTAAAAGTAGCATCTTTTGATTTTAACTGTGCTTCCCTGCTCCTGTTGTCAGCCCCAGAATTCCTCCCACTCTCTCCTTCCACCCTAACGGTCTGTCCCCTCTTCCCAGGCTCTCGCAAAAGGTTTCCCTTGATTTTTCCTATTTTCCTTATTGCATCTCCAGATGGAACAGTTGCAGGGTATCCAGCAGAATAAGACCAGCAATTGCCTTCCCCTCAGTGTCCCATTCTTTTTGTCCTAACACTGATCTATGCTTCACATTGACCCCATTTCACCACCAGATGTATGCATGCAAGTAGCCTGAATGCTCCATGTGCATCTCTGCCTTTCTCTCATGAGAGCTGCACCAGCAGAAAAGCAGCACACCATGAATCACGAGAGCCACGTGGGCTGCATATATTTCTATGATCAGGAGCAAGCAGGGGGTCAGTTCTTCAGGTGAGACCTCTGGAGCAGCATTTTCTGCTTCCCCAGCTGCAAATCATGGCTTAACCTCTTGCTTCTTTGCCACTTGAACCCTTTTCTTCTGAGGTTGATGCATGTTTTTCCTTGAATATCCTCTAATGTGAAAGATGGGTGGAGAGAAAGCACTGAGCATTTGGAAGGTTTATATTCTTGGCTATTAGAAAAGTGATAGTTTTTGTGGATATCTAAATGTGTGGATATCTTATCTGTCTGGGATTGTTTGATCTGGAGAAGAAGAGGCTCAGGGGACACTTCAGAACTACTTCAAAAGGAGGATGTGGCAAGGTGGAGATAGCACTCTTCTTTCCAGTAACTGATGACAGGATGAGAGGTAACAGCCTAAAGTTACTCTAGGGGAGCTTCAGGTTGGTTATTAGAAAAAATTTAGTCTCAGAAGAGGTAGTGAGGTATTGGAACAGGCTACCCAGGGAAGTGGTGGAGTCACCATCCGTGGAGGTTTTCAAGAAAAGGGCAGATGGCACTGAGGGTCATGGAGGGGATGGGCTGACAGTTGTACATGTTCCAAGAGGTCTTTTCCATCCTTAATGGTTCTCTTTCATACTAACTAGGTGAATGTCACTCTGCTAAAGTGATAGGCAGGTGAGAGGTGTCAGAGTATTTGAGAGTAGGGGGATGACAGTGAGCATAGGACATTAGGTATGTAAGATAGTCTGTACACTGCAAAAACATTTATTTACCTAGCTGCAGGGTCTTGCTACTGCATAAATAAAGCAAAGTTGCCTGACTTTTTAAAATTCATGTACTTTCCACCTCTCGTGCACAAAGCTTACAAGGGCATCAACAGGGATGCTGATTCAGATGAGGGCAGACTTCTCACTGTCAAATTGGGCTGTTCCCTTTTCTGAAATGGTTTCTCTGCCTTTGATAGCTGAGTCATTCAGGATAAGGATGCATCTGTGGCAAGTGAATTTAGGACGAGTTTATCCCAAGTAGAGTGCCAGCTCTAGTCAGTGAGACAGAGCTTGGCTGCTGAAGTGTGAGCAGGGTATATGTGACACTCAGCAGTCAACTCTTTCCAGAGCCAGCTCAAAGACTTACAAGCTTAGATCTTGAAATGCTGGAAAGTGAAATGTAAATGCCCATAAGAAGCTCTAGATGGAGTTGGCTGAATGCAGCTGACCCTGGATTAATTGGGAATGGAGCAGGAGTAAGAGGAAGACAGATGCATGGAGCTGGAATTAGGAGCTAGGATCATTAGGCAGTTCTGAGGCATGATTTATAGCTACACCCATCCTGTTGAATACTGATACAGTGCAAGAAAAATATATTTATTTTTATCTTTCCCTAACTTTTAGTTTAATAATCCAGGCTCCCAAGCAATATATTTCACTCATTCGTCCTGTGATGTGGGATTGAGGGAGTTCCCTGATGTAGATTAAATGCCCAGATAAATCATTGCCTTCAAGAGAGTGAGAACCTGACCTAGTCTTGTGACATCAAGGTTATGCAGTTCCAAATATCCTTTGGTGGCTATCTCAGAGCAGTGAAATCGAGCTGTTAGTAGCAGAAGGGGCTCGTGATTTCCTTTCTCACGAGGCTTGTTGACCATAACAGAGTTGTATGCTTTCCAAACCAGGCCTCCTGTATTGCTTACGTTCAAGTATATCTTTTCATTGGATATTTAGCACTAGCTTAACTTATTGCAGGTGTAAGGTTAATATGGTACTGTATTGAGTTACAGTCACACTACCCTTTTTTTGATGTGTCTGGGATATAGCTATGACACTTCATGCTGCGGCCTTTTTGGATTCTTTACCAGTCTCTAAAAGGAGAATTTGCTTGTTTAAGGAAGGGTTGTGAGGATGATATTTTGGGGACTTATAGCACAGCTGGAAGTTTTGAGTGTGCAAAATGTGTTGATTTCTCCAGATTTGAAGGAAACAAAAAAACAACAAATTTTTGCTTCCACTTCCTTTCTCTGATTGATTTGTTGCTTTTTTTTTCTTTTTCTTTCTTTCCACAGATTATAGAAATATATAGATATGTTTTTCTGCAGCTGACAGGGGATTCAAATCTACATCTATACAGTGCATGAAAATAAGCTTCCTATTCTTGTAGAAATGACATGGCAGTATTCGTACTCTCTATTATATATCCTTCCCATTTCTCTGGAAAAAATCAGACATACTGGCATCACAAGATCTGTATCAGGGAGCCCACAAGGACATAGATCCTCCTGTTTAAGCAGAAAATTCCTACATCCACAGATTGAATGTCACATCTAAGCAGTGTTAGCGAATATATACCCACGAAGCAATCACTGTCTGCAGAACACTGATGAAGTGCTTGCTTTTTGATGTATAATACTTTAATGATTTTATTAGGGCTTTGCAACAGAACTGATTACGGTGCAGTACTGCAAAAGAGTTTCAAATTATTTTCTGAGTGGGAAGCTCAGTATGAGGTCTGAGCTTCTCAGAGGTGAGACAAAGGCAGTAATGCTGAAAGGGGCAAAAAGTGTAGCTTTTGGATCCTGGATTTTGGCCAAACAGTAACCTCAAGATATACCTGTTTTCCCTGGGAATGCAGGTTATGCCAAAATTCATGTATGGTTTGCTTGCTTATTGCTGGGTTTAGAAAGAACTCTATCTTCATCATGGTCCCCAGTAAATTTTCCATTATCCCAGTAAATCACTGGGATAATTTCTAGGAATGCCTTCATCAGTTTATCTTGCCATCACATGTCCGTTAAATCAAGTGATTCCTGTGGTGTAACAGTGCTCATATGACAGGATGCCACATTTAGGGTGTTCTCAGGGAGAGATATAACTGTGTAAGCCCAATGCCTATCTGCACATCCAGAATTAATTAAAGAGTGGCAGTGAGCTCTTCAGTTCACTTGGACACATTCATTGTTGTTTTGCTGGATTTGTAGAAGTGCTTTGAAACACTTTGGTGCTCATGACGTGGTTGTTACTTCTGGAGTGCACTGGACTCTATTATGGCTGTTGCTTCATGTCATCTTCATTATGGATAAGTGATCTTGAGGGTGACATCCCATGGCAAGGGTGTCAGAATTAGATGATATTTAATGTCCCTTCTAGACCAAGTCATTCTATGATTCTGTGATCCTGTATGAGTCATCTACAGATAGGAGTCTGTGTGGCTTTGGTTAATGGCATCTATCAAGCTTCATATCATCCCGGTAAAATAGATAATTCTTGAGGCTAC